GGCCCGGAGCGTTACCAAGTTGAACTGGTCGGGCCGCTCAAAACCGTAATTATTGTTTTAGATTCTGAGCGAATCGAGAAATGTTTATTATTTTTACTACGAGATTTTTTTTTTTTTTTTTTTTTTTTTAATTTTATTTGTGTCTGACAAACTTTCTGCCAGAAATCAATCGAAAACTCTATAGGCATTTTTGCTCTAGCGTCTGTCAATTATTGTCTGTATACACTTTGTCGACTTCTGGTTACCATGGCAACGAGTAGAAATATACGACTACTAATACTCTGATCAGAATCGTTTTTCGTCAGCAACGGTTTATCGTTAAGCAAAGATCTACATTTCTAAATTTATTCACTTTATACGTCATCCGTTCCAAATTCCCTTCTAAATCAATAACACACCCATCAACAGTATATTAGCTTATGTCTAGGGACCAGATTTGCAACATTTGCTTATTTTTCTGAATAAATATAAAACCAAGTTTGGTGTTGTGGAAATGTATGTCATGCTACAACAGGCATTTTTTCACCCACATTTTATACTTTGTGATTGCGTAAACCAGTAATGAAAACCCAAATAAATCATTACCGCTTATGATTTTTAAATAATTTTGCTTTTATTGTACTCAGCTGTTATCCACCGCGTTTTTGTTTGGTTTTATTATTTTATCTTATTGCTGTACCTTATCGCTGGGCGCATGGTGCAATAAAAATCGGAGGGTAGTTGTTTTAATATGAGTCCAATTATGATATGAAATTTGAAAGTATTATTTTTTTTACTGATTTTGATAGTTTTTTCCGCACATAAAGGGTTTAATAGACTTTTTAAGGAGACTTTTATAATGGAAGTTTTTAGCCATTTTTACAAATACTTTTTGTTGATTTTAAGCGTTTTAAGTTCCACTTATGTCTATTGGATTTACTTGGGTATAATTATGGACCGGTGTAAAGCTATTTCGTTTTACTCAGAATCTAAAACGATTACAAAATTTGCTCAATTAAAACTCTAGGCTTTTAAACATTTATATTAGTATGTTAATGTGATTAATAATGATAATAATGGCTTGTAATTTAAACGGTGCCTCCATCAAACATTATATAATTGTGAGCAATTTTTTTTTTTTATTAGAGCTGTTAGAAAAAACTATTAAGCTCAACGATTAAAAAAAAAAATAACAATTTGAAATATTTTTTTTTTTTTTAATTATTTTGAATTAGTTTTATCATATAGGTTATTTTATAAAATAACGGAATTTTATATATTTACGTTAACATATAAATGTTAGTGCCGGGTGACACTTGTCCCTAGTGCTCCTTACTTAAATCCACCCTTGGATACGTATAGGTTATGTGTATGTATTAGGTAATGGAGGATTTAAATGTTCAAATAAAGTCGGCCAAGCCATAAGAGGAGCCTCGTACAAAATTCATCGGTAACATACTCATTACTCACACTCATTTTACAAAATCATACAAAAAAATGATCTTAAAATATACTTACTTTTAAAAAATGTGTAAAAATTGGACTAAAAATTAAATTAATAATTTTAAATGGCAATTAGTATAGCTGTATTTTTTTGTAATACAATAACATTAAACATCAATAGCGTATTTAAGGGAAGAGATCAGGGAGACAGTGGCGCCGAACCTTTTTTAAACCATTGGAGTAAACCCTGTTTGAGGATAACATCTACCCACCCAACCAAACCAGATGAAGTGGGTCGGTCTCGGAGTCTACCTGTTTTCACGAAATATTTTTCAATGCTCACGTTCAATATTTTTTTTTTAATATAAAATTATTTTACTAGTAAAATACTAAATAATTAAATATTTAAATGTAATATATATATATATATAAATGTTCGTAATTTCATATCACCAAATATTACCAAAAATGTAGCACCTTTTCTGAAAGGATATCGGTGTGGGGAGGCACTTAAAGTACTTTTCGATTTTTTCAGGAGTTTTCTCGTCAAATGAGTAAAACCGAAAAAATACAGAAGAAAAATGAGAAAATGTACGAAATGTATCAGTAAACTATTACGATTTTTTCTGTGAACAACTTTTCTACAAGTAATTTTCCTCCGATTTATAATGATAGCACTTTTTCTAAAAGAAAACCTGACCAGGAAGGTACTTTAGGGAGGTCATTTTTAATTCTTCTAGTGGTTTCCACAGTAATTGGGAAAAACGGACAAATATTTACGGCGTAAAGATTTCATGGTTTTATGTTTTATAATTTATGATTTTTACAAAAAATACCTATTGCTTAATTTAAAAAATGACACAAAACTTTTTTGTTACATTTTGGATCTAGTTGCTTACGGAAGAAGTCGTTTTTTGATTTTATAACGTACTTTTATCCTCTATGTAATTAATCACTAAATAATAATAAAATTCGTTATTTTATTATTTTTTGTTTTTCCTGTATGATAATTATTATTCCTGTTTGTGTGGGAATTTACGTGTGGGTATATTTTTTTATTCGTGTCGGAACTTACATATGAATCCACTTACCTGCTATATTTCGTGTGGGAACAAACCGAGCCCTCCAGCATAGGCTGACATGGAATCATTTACATCTATAGCCGTGGTAAGGGTACATAGTACATATTAGAGGCTAGTTCATAGTGCAAATTGGCATCCTGCATTGAAGAATCTCTCAACTATAAATACTGAGTCTTGTTGTCTGTATGCAACTTAGTATTACACTATATCTCTATGTATACAAATGGACCCCTATTCCCCATTGTCACGCCATCACTTAAAAACTGGAGCGATTTTAACGCGGTTTTTTCGCAAAATATTCTGGATTGTTAGGAGGAGATGTATAGCTATTGAAATCCACCCCTAATGAATACTATTAATTAGGTTATATAGGGTATATAGGGTATTCAGGTTATAGGTAATTTTAGTTCAGAAATTTAATTTAATTTATTGAATTATGGGTTTTCGTGGTAAGACGGATGAAAAAAAATTTAAATCCATCTACTGAGGGGGGAGGGGAGTATTTATATATTTATATTATATATTATATATTTACGTACGCAAAACTAGCAGAGGTTATTTTTTTCCGGGCAAGTTGGAAATTTGGATGGTATTCAAGTTATGAATACCATCTAAGTTATGGCGTCAGTGCGTCACCGAAAAAATTTCGATTCATTTTGATACATAATACATATAGATTATGATTTACGAAAATCGAGTTATTAATTTTGTATTGTTATAAATTGTTTTCAAATACGTACACAGAGGAATAAAAGGAACGCCGTGCCATCTGCAAGTGACGACTAAAATACAGTCGGGATGTTTATAATCCGGGAACAAACAATTCGTACAAATACGTATTGCATATTTTTCGATTACAGGTTTTTACGTTCCGTGACTATATGGTTCACAAATGTTCTTTTTGGGCAATTCTACGTTCCGTAAAAATACACTTTTATTCCGAAATTTTACAATCCGAGCAAAAACATTCCGAGATTTTACGGTTTCCCGTTCTAATACTAATTCCTAGAATAATATGTTATTTATTCAGAATTGAAAAAAAAAAGAGCTGATACTGGGGTTATTACATTTATACCTATAAGCAACGATAAACTATTGCTTGACGAAAAATGATCCCGAGCGCAATTCGGTAATTATAATTTAAATTGCCAGAATTTTTTTTGTTATTTTCATTTGAATTTGATTTCAAAACGCTTATTAAAAAAAAAAAACCATCCGATGATTTTGGAAATTTTACCACATCTAGGTAAGTCCAATGTCAGTATTATTACTAAGTTCAAGTCTCTACGTGTATTTATAATCAAATTACAGCAGAACTCCCAAAAATTTAAATTCTTTAAAAGCTCAAAAGTGTCTCAAAAGTTTTAGCAATAATACCGTGAGAAATTAAATCAAAAAGGCAACAAAAAAGATATTTTGTGATTTTTCAATTAAATCATTAATTCTGGTAGAAAATGTCGTTCGTGTTTTTATAAAATAATGAAATCGTGAAATTGTACGTTTCCCTACGTTTTTTCCCACTTTTATTTTAGTTTAAGTTCATTTGAAATAGGTAGTTACACATTTTCAAAAAAATTATAACTCAGTTAAGTTAAAAGTCATTTTTTTTTAAACCCTCAAAATACCTATAAACTTGCAATAAACATAGACACGCAGTATTTTATTCAAACAATTTGTAAATAACATTTTAAAAATAACTTACATTTTTAACAAAATAATCAAGTTAATTTAACTTAATTTAATTTAATTAATAGTTAATTTCTTAAATTCTACTTTTATTTTAACGGTTATATTAAAAGTTATAAAACTAGTTATAATGTTTATAACTTCAAACTTCATTTTTAACTTCTTAAATATCTACTGTCTAGTTTTTCTATAATTAATTATTATACTATGATGAAATCTGGGTGTCAAAGTGAACACTAGTTTAATATAATATATATTGTTGATTTTTTTAAAGAAATTATAGAATCTATCAATATCAGTGTACTATCACCGATAGTACTATCTATTAATATTTGAATATAAATAAGTACATACGTTTAATTGTTTACATTTAAAACACGAATATTACGTTCGTTAGTTATAAAACTTAATTATTTACTAATATTTTATTAATTTTAATTATAAAAACATTGATCCTATAATGATTAGGTAGGTACACTTTACGGTCGCCATCATACCCAAGAGTCCTACAAACATAAAGATCGGTCTGGAAATCCCTTTAAGCACTTAATATAACTATATACATAATCGGATTAAAGGGTTTCTTATAGTACTCAGAGGGATTGCCTTCTTGGTCTCTTATATAAACTTAGTGGATCATAACCAAACTAGAATAATGTAGGTTTGACATCACGTAGATATATTTTAGATATTTGTTTTTTTTTGAGACTTATTGCGTAGTTAAATTAAATCGTGTTGTTTCATCATTATTATTTGTTTTAATGATAATTTCTCTCTAATAAAATTTGAACAATGAAAAAATCACAAATATTATTCTTTATTTACGGAATGACAATGGCAAGTAGCACGGATGATATTATCGGTTGTATGTTCGTAACCAGCTGGATGATCGTTGGATATCATTTTCGGTTTTACTGAGCTCTTGCCTTTATCAAAATATTCCGGCATTCGACTCTTAGAGGATCTCGTATCAACATTATCACAGCTGGACTGCGTAGTCGGAGTGAAAGTGGTGGGGAAATATGAGTTGTTCATTTTAGTCGTCGTGGAAACTTTTTCGAACGACGATTCACCAAGTTTTATAACGGACGCGTTCAAGTTGCCTATTATGTAAATATTGTTAATCGTACACGACATCGTTTGCGGGTGTGGTAATTTATTTAATTCAAACGAAACGCCACTAGAATCGGTTAGCGATTGAACCACACACTCGGAAGAGCCATCCTGTTCGGAACCAGATAGTTGACTCGCATGTTTTAACTGATCATTTGAAAGCGTTCTCAATCTGAAATTTATCAAATTGACAAAAATATTATTAAATATTTGCTTCGTACAATGTATTTCTATTAGGTGAAATATAATACATATTTTCACATAGGTATAATCGTACAATTAATATTATAATTTGATACATGAACGATTTAAAAAAAAAAAATATATTAGTACATAATATTATTATGTGGGTACTTTATAGACAAATCCTTAATTGGACGACCGATTAAACAGGCCAAACGAAGGATAAATATAGCGAAACTTGAACGCAAATGAAAGAGTAACATATTATTTTATTCATTGACAAAAAAAAAATAATGAAACACTAATTTTACTATAATAAATAGTTACTACCGAAAGTACATATTAGATTTGTGTTTCTATCATAATATGTTATATTATACACGGTATATTATAATTATTTTTAAGTTTTTGAACCAATATAATATTATCATTATTTTTTTTTCTGTTATAGAACACGTGAGGATTCTGATAACATTGAGAGAGAAAAGATAAAATTTAGATTTAACGCCCGTTTTTGCCATTTGGGATGGGTTACATAAAAATTAATTTCATCATTAGTCACATTAATATTTAAATAGTATTCTGATGTCTGAGTACACAAGCATTACAGAATGATTCAAAATTGAATAATTCGCATGAAGATCGTATAATATGAAAAAAACATTTGGCTAGTCGAAAATAACTATAATTTATTAATAATTAGTATTAAAATTTGTTTAGTTTTTGATATTTCATTGTAATTTTATACGCATACAAATACCTAATATCCAGGTATAAAAGTAGAAATAATTTATTTTTACTTTTCTAAACAAAAATTTAAATCTTAAAACCTTTAATTACTTATTGAATGAAATAATTTCTAATCAATTTATGGTAATCATAATGTTTTGAGCATTTATAAAATATTTAGACACCAGACCATTGTGGAATGAGAAGGCCGACAAAGCAGTGCGGCAAGCACTCGATAACTTCACTAAGGTAAGGTAACGCTCCCTCTTCTCAAGCCTCATTCCCACGACTGGCATACTTGACATGTACGCCAATATTTGAGCACTAGTACAAATAGCCAAGTACATCATTCTCACGGCTAGCTGTATTATAATAATAAATAAATAAATAATACTTTTTTCCCTGGTCCACACGAACCGACCATAGGATAACAAGTAGAAGTTTATTGGCCGTTTTTGGACTAATGTCATATTTAACGACAATCCTCGGGAAGGGCACCAGTGACCAATAATTTTAGATCTATATTGTATACTGATCCAACAGCATTGTAAATAACAACCAGTGCCAAATATTGGATAAGTACACCAGTCATGGAAATGCTGTATCACTTATTGATATTCATAGACGTGTTAACACTTATCAAATTAACCTATGGGAATTTAAATTGCGGTGTAGTGTACACTAAGTAACTAACTTCAGGAAATTAAAAATGCTGTCATATACTGACCTAAAAACCAATATTTCAATCAAAAAGATGAAGTTATTTTAAACAGACTGTGAATTTGTAACTTAAATACGTTTCATGACCATCTTATATAAAAGGAAAAACCAACACTGTGCTAAACTTTTGGTGAACCCCTATTGCCAAGTATTTCTAGTCTACTGCCTAAACCACATGAAAACTAGAAGAAGCCTAGAAATTCTAGAAAACCTCTTCAAAGCTCTCAGCCAATTCCTTAAATGCACATGTATGTATTACTTGAGTCATAATAACTATTTTTTCATCCATATGTAACATTTATCTTTATTGCCACCACATGGTAATAACGTAGGAAAAATGGGAAAATAAGCACAGGTATTATCAAAGAAATTATGTAATGCATATGTAATTATTTTTTTTCTATAGTATAACGTATATATTGTTAATAAAGTAACATCACTAACCGAACTCCTCTCAGAATCGTTTTTCGTTAGCAACAGTTAATCCTTTCGTTCAGATATACATTCCTCTGCCTTCCCAACTTCTCACCTACAACATTGGCCCACCCATTGTGTGAAGTATGTCCGTATCTTCTTGGATTTTTGTTTTTTGTGTGCATTAAATATTAATTTACAAACAATTAAACATATTATGAGCGAATTCTTTTTTTTTTTTTAAATCAATTTCGAATAAAATGAAAATATTTTGTTTTCCCCTGAATAAATAAATTAAAATAATAACATGTAGGTATACATTATACATGCTGTAGGTACCTATACTCGTACACATTATAATTACGGATTTGTGGTAACAGTGTTGTCATTGTCAGTGTATAACAATATTATAATAACGGACGTATAAAAATTTTCATATTGCATTACAGTTTAATTATCCTATGACGTACATGGCATACAAGTAATCGCTATTCTCTGGTAGTTTAAATATCTAAGCCATTAATCGCTATTCTGATTTAATTAAACAGTAATGCATTGAGAGCAATAAAAAATAGACATAATATATTAAAAACATAATATATTAACTACCATCACTTAAGCGTAAGTAAATCTTTGTCAGGATACCCAATATAATGTAAGCACTTTATTGTGCATCAAATTTGGACAAGTAAAAATTAAATAATCGTGTGCTGGGCGTATTAATACTTTTTACATTATTCTGGAAAAATAATGGCCGCAAGCTATTTAAAGCGAGAATGTTAATTTACTATAGATATAAGTATGTTTGCATCCGATTTTAAAGGCATGTCCCGGTGTTTCAGACGGTTATTCAGTTTGTCCCGGTGGATAGAGGCTAAGAGAAAACTTATGAATAACGCTTGATCGGATAAAAGGAGTAGGATAAATGAAAATACAGTACAAGGACACAAGGCCTGATAGTCCATAAAATTAATTTTGATTTAACTTAATAAATTAAGATTGATACAACTTAAAGAAAATTAATTCGAGTGAAAAGTATAATAATCAATATACAATAAGTAGTAACAGTAAGTTAATGGATAAAAAATATAAACATTTGTTAATTTAATTTGCACAATTTGCTTTTTAAGACTTGTCCATCTTCGACAACATTTCTTGAACACACATTTAGCAAACGTAAATAGTTCTCCAATAGTGAGTGACATATTTTTATTGACTTAGTAACTTATTATAGAAAAACAAACTTAACATGAATATCAACTCGTAATTTTAACGTTTTTACGTGTAGTATCGCTAGTATCAATAATGTTTATCCTACTCCGGATCAGTAGGGTAACCACCACCAATAGTTGTTACCTTAGAATTTAGATCATATATACTATGGATAGAACTACTGCATGATAAACGCGTACTACGAGTTGGAAACATCATTATTAACGAGTGCTAAGGGGACTGATCTTTATTGTACATGCGAATCAGTACTCGTCGCATATTCATCGTATAATCATTTTAATACCACCAAGCAGTGATGGTAGGTACATCACAAATGATTACATGAATTCGACCAATTGCGTATGATATACATTTTGCACATGCACATTTGTCCCAACTACCCTTAGTTATGTTTGCTTCAAATATTTAATCAATAGCTCTATACATACTATATGATCTAAGGTTGTTACTAGCGCTCCCTTTTTTAATTAATTATCCCAATAATACTATAATAATGTATTGACACTTTGTCGAGTATGCAATAGTCCATATTTTGTCCTCGTGTAAGGACTTCAACATATGGTTAGGTTAGGTTTGAAATGTTTTAATTTGGTTAAGTAGGTATTGATTTTAATTATAATTAAGTTTTTCATTCAAAATTAAAAGTAGGTGTATTCTAAAAATATAAGACTCATCACATTCACCAATATGACTGATTTCTGAATTGTTAAATAATATATTGGTATAAACTTAATGTATTTTGTAAACTGTCGATCGGCAAACTCGTTACTTAATAATATTAAAATTTAAAAAAACCATCATGTTTTGAAATTTAATAAATTAAATTAATAGTTAAGTCTTTTTTAATTTATAAAACGTATTTAGTATTTTTGTTATTAGTTATTATTGTTTGTATTTTATATTAAACCATCGTTTTTATCAATGAGATATTATGTTTGTATTGTCCGAAGAGTTCACACAAAAACATTACACTATAAAGTAGGGTGGAAAATAGACATCAACTTTATATACTAACGAAAAATATTGTACACAACTAATTTTCATGTAGACTAATAATAAGACAATTTCTATGCCTAGCTAATTCATATTAATTTATTTTATTAATTTATATGTTCCCCCCCCAGTTCAAGGCCTCTGTATCCACCCTTGATTGGGTAATAGGGTCGGTGGGATACATAAAGTTATTTAATTTATGCCTGTAACCAACGTTAAACCATTGATCACGAGAAACGATTCGGAGCGAAGTTTAGTTGTATAAGTTTTGAAAGACAGTAATATTTACGATTTTCAACAAAATTTGATTTTAAAACTCTTACAAAAAAATAATGCTATTTACTATGTTTAAAAAAAGTAAATATAAGTTTTCTGTCAACATTTTAAGTCTCTAGGAATATTTTAAACTAAATTAGGAAATAATAAAAGAATTAATTTCATAAATTTCACTGTTTTTTCTATATATTTTTCGGTTTTGCTCAATTATTAAAAATCAAAAAACTACTTTCTTGGCCACAAACTAGATTAAAAATTCAACAAAACAAAAAATCTCTTAATTTTTTTCTATTGGAGCAATATTTCTGGTAATAAATGGAAAGTGTAAAAATTTAAAATAATGAAATCGTAACGCCATAAATTTGTCAATTTTCATTTTGTGTTTTGTTCCCGGCTTTCCTAATTATTAATAAAACTACAGAGAAAATTGAAAAACAGTTTTCTTAGTCACCAAATGGATAAAAAAAAATGCAACAAAATTGGTCTCTTGTCATTCATCCATATTGGAACAATATTTATGGTAGAAAACATAAACTTTAAAAATGTAAAATAATGAAATCGTATATTTCGTCTTTTTTTATTTTCCCAATTATTATGAAAAGTACCTAAAATATCAGTTAGAGACTCTACGGTAATTAACCTTAGCGAATAATTATAATACTGAAACATTTATGAATAACTTCATTGCTCGGTGTAACAGAAATACCCGAGTAACTAACCTAACTAATATATTAAGATTTTTTGTTACAGTGCATGTGCAGTCGTATATATATATTAACTAGTGAGATTAGCGAAAAAGTAATTTCCAAAAACATCCCAGACCGCAACATGTGGCGACCTGGTCAATGTACGTGACGGTCATTCCGTAAATATCCTGAGCAAATACGAAAAGTTTTTGGGCTAATACCTTGTTTCGGGTGCTGGTAGGAACACTGTTCATACTTATTAGTTTAATTATTTTTATTTCACAGTGCGTAACTATGTGAAAACGCTTAAACGTTTCCATTACCTACTGCATTAACCTAGTAGAGAACTCATTTTAGAAATTGATTGTGGAATAAACTCTCGTTTTAATTTGATACGTAGAACGGATCAAGTTTTTATAATTATAATATTTTAACATTGAGATCATATTTTGTTTGATTGTTAAATTGTTTATTTTATATGCATGTTAGGTACCGGTAGGCCTTGTAAATAATATTTAAAAAAATACAACACAGTTGTTACAATCTAGTACACTAAATTTCTAGATAACGCGATAACGACAGCTTAACGATGAAAACTGAAAAGACCGCGTTATTATTAGTACCTACCTTTAAAATACGTGTGCCACACTGCCACCACGTTACCTGACATTTGTTGGCTTTATATTTTTGTGAAATGAAGTAAGCGCTACTTAATCAATTCGTGTTTTGTTTTTTTTTTTTTTTCTACTGTATTCTGTATTATTTATAAATACAGATACATGCTTTCTGTGTTAGATACATATATAACCGTTGTCACTTCCATGATAATATGATCGATATCTATCATGCATATATCTATGTATACTAATCGTATGATGTATAAGAATAAATCAGCTATTAAATATACATAGGTTTACTCATGGCCAAATAATGATACTTACTTTAATGGCTTTATAACATGTAATAATGTTGCACAAAAAAATGTATAATGAATCTGTAAATTAAAATATAATGATATAAATACA